GGAACTTTCCTACCCCCCGGGCTTCTTTCCCTTAATTCTCTTCTTGCCAGGTTCCCCCCTCCCGCCGTCCCGGCTCAGTTTCTGGGGACGCGGGACGCAGCCCCTCTCCTCTGCAGGCGTTTCTGGGCTCCTTTTGTACGGGCTCGCTGAAATCCCGTCCGGGCTTTAGGATGTGGGGAATACGCGACGAGGGGATGGGTAAGGTTTCCTATCCGCTGCCAAAAGCGCTGGGAGCAGCCGCGGAGCCCCCTTCCCCTAAGGAGCGAAAATAGCCTGGCTTGGAGGCAGGCATCGCCCGCTGGCGGGCGGCCGGGCGGGAGCGCTAGCTCGCTTTCTCCCTGTGCGCAGAAAGTGTTGAGCTTTCGCTCGGCCCCCTCCCCATCCCGGGTGTCCTCCGTGTTTAAACTCAGGTTACAAACGAGCTGTGTTTCTCCGGCTAGAACCCTGGAAAAGCCTCGCATCTGGCAGAGCCGTAGAGAGAGGCAGCTGACATGAAAAATGCGCCCGGGCGTTGGGAGCGGAGCGGGGCTGGGCTGGCGGGGAGAGGTGCCGGGCGTTCCGCGGAGGGGGCCTCTCCCTCCACACTCCCTTGGATGTTTTTCTCATTGTAGGTCTTTGGCCATGAACCCCATCCAGAGACCTGAGATGTACATCATCGGCGCTCAGCCGGTGTGCAGCCAGCTGCCGGGGCTCTCCCCCGGGCAGCGCAAGCTCTGCCAGCTCTATCAGGAGCACATGGTGTTCATCGGGGAAGGGGCCCGCAGTGCCATCAAGGAGTGCCAGTACCAGTTTCGGCAGCGGCGGTGGAACTGCAGCACGGTGGACAACACCTCTGTCTTTGGGCGGGTCATGAAAATAGGTAGGAGCACCCAGCGCAGGGAGGTGTTGGGCGCAGGTCGGCTGTCCCCGTGTAGCTTTCTCCCTTTCTTCAAATGCACAGGCGGGAGTGATGAGTACCATTAGCACCGTTCCTAAAGCTGCTTTTAATGAGCTTTTCCATTCCTTAGTGTGCTGGTGCTGCGCCTGAGCGGGCGGCAGCAGAGCACCTGAAACACGGCAGGAGCTGGCTGAGGATGGGGCGGGGGGGGACAACAGTTTCGGGTGGAGGGGGCATGGGAAGGTCTGGAAGAG